ATAAAGACCTATTGTGTTTGCAAATCTCTGTCAAGATATTAAACAAACAGGGAAGGCTGAGAGCACCCCTGTATCTCAGCTGTCTTCAGATCAACAATCCTTCACATTCAGGGGAAAAATATTCTGGTTTCCTTTACGTGAGATCATGCTTGGTGGCTCCCATCCAGTTTAGTAGCTGGCAAAGTTCACTACCAAATCCTGTCAACTTACAGCATTGTGTGGTGGATATCCACAGGGTCCATGGGGAGAGAGGTGCTTCCTGTCAGGGTTGGGTTAGAGTCTAGATTCCTTCTTTGGCTTCTGCCTGAGCTGTTACATATTGTTTTCTGCTTGATATTTCTTGTTTTATAAAGAATTCTTTATTTAATTTTATTTATTATTATTTTTAAAATTTACTATAGGGTGTGTGCACTTGTGTGTGAGAGAGAGAGAAAGAGATAGAAAGTGAGAAAGCAAGCTGTAGGCCCAGGACTTGAACGAGAATCAGCCGTGTGCGAGTCTAATGCTTCACCAACATGCCACCTGCTGGCCCTCTGCTTGATATTAATTTTTTGGTTGAGATTTAGTTTCTATCCATCCTTTGAAGAAGAAGAAGGAAAAAAAAAAGAAGAGGATATTTGTAACCCCTACAATGGATAGAGTATTTAAGAGTCCTAGCATATTAGATGTATCCCATGAACTTGAAGTCTTTGAACGGGAATGTTTCATAGGTGGCCATTAGTGCATCATGTCCAAGGCCAGGTCTGTGATGCCGAGAAGAGAAGAGAAGAGAAGAGAAGAGAAGAGAAGAGAAGAGAAGAGCTGCATTCCAACGTTTCAGCATCGGGTACCACCCCAAGCTGATGGCATGTATGTGCTAAAGGAATATGTGGTTGATAACAGGTATGGATGAAAGATGGCTTCATGAAACTAAATCAACCAAAACATTAGAAGATCCATTTATTTGTTTTTAATTTTGCCAGAGGGTGTGTGCAGTCACTAGAGAAAGAGCGAGAGAGGGAAAGTGAGAAAGCACCCCCCCACACACCCAGCAGATGGTCGTGCAGCAATTGCTTCTCCCTTTCTCCCTCCTTTTGGGATTTTGGGTGTACATGTCCCTGGCATGTCTTTCAAGCTGCCAGGGGACTCAGACAGCTCAGCTGGCCATGTTGGAGCCAGCTGCTTTAACCCCCAGGCAACTGGCTGGTCCTAGATTTATTATCCTTGTACTACAGAGGAAATCAAAGCTGGTCTTTTGTGACTTTATAGGCTCTCTACATGGCATTTCTTCTCTCTGCTGATTGGTTTACTAATGTTTACTCACCAACCAGGTGGGCTATTTCCTGTTTATAAAATAATGTAAAGTGAGTTGTCTTATGACCCAGGCATAGTCTTGAAGAGCAGGAGTCTGTACTCCCTCACAAATGCTTTCTCTTAGAATGACAGGCTTTAATGACCGTTCTCACCTTCTCTGCCTTGTGAATCCAGACACAAATGGACAACAGGACTTCTAGGGATTGATATTCCCAGAAGGACACATCCTATTCAAAGTCCTGCACAAAGACACTTGACCAAACTTTCTGGGAACAACTGGTTTCCCTCCTTTGCCATTTGTTGTTGTTATTAGTTTATTTATCACTTCCATGAGAGAGACAGAGATAGAAATACAGATAGATAGAAATACAGGGAGAGAGAGAAACTCCCAACAGGTTTTCACATTGCGACCCACCCCAGCCTCAGCCAGCCTTGGTCACAGACACCGTGTTCCTGGCATTCACAGGGAGACCTCGGGAAGTGAGCCCAGCACCTTACCAGGTGTGTTCATTTGCGTGATGCCGTGTCCATGTGCTCCTGAGGTGGCCCCGACCACAGCACGCTTTTTATTTTAAGAGAGATTTTTGCTGTAGGGCATGTGCACTCTCCAGAGAGAGTGACAGAGAGAAAGAGAGATATCCCCCCCCCCCCCGGAAGGATGGCCACTGTGCAATCCCTTCTTCTCTATTCTCTTTTCAGGATTTTGGGCTCCCACACATACATGCCTGGTGTGAGTTTCAAGCTGCCACATCTGGGACTTGAACTGTGGTTGGCTACATGGGAGTCCAGCATCATAACCACTGTGCCTTCTATTGACCCCAGTACAACACTCTTTTGAGTTATTTATTTATTTATTTATTATTTATTTTTGGAGAGATTTTTGCTATAGGGCATGTGCACTCGCCAGACAGACAGAGAGAGAAAGAGAGATGGAAAGCGAGAGATCACCCCCCAGGGGGGATGGCCACGCTGCAATCCCTTCTCCTCCATTCTCCTCTCGGGATCTTGGGCATCCTCGCACATGCGCCTGGCATGAGTTTAAGCTGCCAGGACCGGGACTTGAACCGCGGTCAAGTTCATGGGAGTCCAGCGACATAGCCATTACGCTAACTGCTGGTCCCACTCTTTTGAGTTTTTGTCTGTGAAAAATTTCAGAGTTGTCAAAACTACTTTAGTGCTTGTTCTTGCCAATACCTGACCATAGGCCCCTAAGGTCTCTTAGAGCACTGACTAAAAGGGGCTTATAATGGTGACTCCTTCCTCTGTCCCTTAGAGATGTACATGTATCTCTTACAGCCTCAGGTGTCTTTCTCAAGGATCCAGAAGCCATTCCTTTGAAATGTAACATCAGGAAGGACAAGGCCTCTGTCTCACAGTCTCGGTGGGAGGATAGAATTCTCACTTCCACAACTGCCAGCTAGCTCACAACTGGCCTATCACATTTATCCCATCCATCCCTTTGTACTTTCTCCCTTGAGTCCCCCCATACTCCTCCTCATATTCCCCTTCTCCCTCTAAAATGTCCAGTAACCTCCGCGCAAAAGGCAATGGAGTACAGCTTGCTTTCCTACTGTCAGTCACTGAACAAAATGCTTTCACTGCTGTAACTAACGTCAGCTTTGTTTGACTTCTTTTTTAAAAAATAAAAAACAGGGAACCAGCAGTTAGCGTAATGGCTATGTCGCTGGACTCCCACGTAGTTGACCGCGGTTCGTGTCCTGGACCCGGTGGCTTAAAACTCACGCCGGGCACGTGTGCGTGTGTGCCCAAGATCCCGAGAGGAGAATGGAGGAGAAGGGATTGCGGTGTGACCATCCCCCCTGGGGGGTGATTTCTCGCTTTCTGTCTCTATGTCTCTCTCTGTCTGTCTGGCGAGTGCACGCACCCTACAGTGAAAATCTCTCAAAAAAAAAAAAATAAAATAAAAAATAAAAAATAAAAAACAGTGGGCTGGCTCTGGAGGGACATTATAAACAATGGTCTATGAGAAAACAGATGTCTAGCACTGAGGGGTCTTGGTTTTCCAGCGCTTGCTGGGACTGTTGGGGAGTCATTCGGAAAGTGCTTGAGGGTGAAGGGCCATCTACGGTAAGAATCCAAGGAATATATAACTTGATTCACAGACTAGAGTTATAAAATGTTGAGCTATAAGAGCTAGGAAGCTTGGTAGAAGGTGAATTAACCAAGAGTAAATTTTTACCCTCATCCTAGAAGGACTGATAGGTTTGAGAATTGGTGAGATGGTTCGGCTGTGTGTGTGTGTGTGTGTGTGTGTGTATCTTTTATTTGAAGAAAGATTTTTTTTCCTTGTTATAGGGTGTGTGTGCTTGATGGAGACACTGAGAAATACGGGGAGAGGGAAAGTGAGAAATCACCACACACACACACACACACACACACACACACACACCCAGGGGAGATGGCCATGTCACAATTCCTTCTCCTCCATTCTCCTTTCAGGATGTTTCAAGCCACTGGGTCTGGACCTCAAATCATGGTCAGCCATGTGGGAGTCCAGCACCTTAACCACTATGCCACCTGCTGGCCCTAGTTCAGCCATATTTTGCTTTTCCCACAAAAGTTCAAGGTCTCAGAGTGGACAGGAGACCTTAAACTCTATGTAGCTCTGAGAACACGACTTTGTAAATCTTTAATAAACCTTATAGCCAGATATTGAGCAGAGATTCTGGGGAAAGTTTTTTTCAGAAAAAGTATCTTTAAAGAAGATATTTATCCAGTACTAGATACTTGATTGTTTTAAGAGCC